ACACACACACACACACACACACACACACACACACACACACACACACAGACACACACAACATGAAACAGTTTCACATCAAATGGCCACCATGGCTTAAGATTCTCACTCCCCTTCAGAGTTTATATCTCATGACATCCAAACAACACCTACTGTTATTGAATGCTTGAATTAGTTTATGACCAGCAACCTGTTTGAAACTCAGCCTCTGATATCAACGACCACTCTGATTAGTCCCGCTCTGAAACAGGAGACAGTCATAGTCAGGGACAGTGTCGATACTGACAACCTGTCAAACCGAGGGGGTTACTCACTGACTCAGAACAGGAAACCAAATGCGAGTCGAGAAGACGTTATCAGTGCTACCACAGCCTCCTCTCTTGTGCCCCCTCCTCCACTCCCCACAGGCCTTGATTCTTACTCTATTACAACTACAGCAAGTATGTGATTGAAATAGAGGCCCAGCTGCCGTGAACACACAGCTGGAGGACGGCGCGCGGTGGGCTGCTCTTCTATATTTTGCGTCGCTTTCTTTCTCGTGGCTGCAACTTGAAAGGTGTGGATCACAGTTGCGTGGGGCTCGGTGGAGACTTTGCACTGGTGAAGCATGAGGTTTGTTTTTCTCAAGCTCGGCCTCGAGCCTGTTTTGGCTCAACGAGGAGCCTGTGGGCATTCCTCTGAGTTTTAAATATACCTGAGGCTGCTGCTCTCGTACCACATGTGTGTGAATTTTGACCTGAGATGCAGAGTCTGCAGCAGCCTGTCAGACCCTGTCTTGATTTTAACCCAAAGCATTCCAGTTCTAAGCGACGACTGGGCATACGATTACTTGTATTGGAGCAAAAATACATGATATCAGAGTGAACAAAATCACAACTGAGTAAATAAATTCATTAAGTATTCCAATGTTGCCAATGCTATTGCATAGTATCAGTCATCATAACAGATCTCAAAGACTGTAGCAGTTAGAAATGAGCCTACTCGTATTTTCTCAATTTGTTGGGTAATGGTGGCAAACTTTTATATTGGTCGTGTAAAGAATATGGTAGAGGTCAATTTATTTATTTATAGTTGCCACTTTGTCGTTTCAAGATGTCAAGATTTGGGATTAGGTTTCGAACCAGTGATTTTGTGATGCAGAGCATGACGACATTTAAATAAAGTTATTGAATGCACCACACTCAAGGGACTTTTGCCATAATAACTTTTTGTGGTTAAACTGACGTTCCCTGGTTTAGGTCCCTGTTTAGTCCCAGCCTCTCAGTCTGAGCGCTCTTCCACACCCCCCATCTCTGTGTGGCATCTCAGTGAAAACCACATCATGCTATCTTATCCTCTCACATGTTCCTTTGACTCTGAAGCACTAACCACAGTTCAACACCCCCCTTCTCTTCCTTTGAAACTTTCTCCACTAATTTCCCTCCAACCGGCAATCAGATCTGATTCCTTTTCCTCGGGTTCAACTGTACGTGGGCCTCCCCCCCCCCCACCTCCCTGGGAGTGGCAGTACGAATCTCATCAAGCCCTTAGCTGCCCCCACCTGCAGCCACCAGATAGGGACAGAGTGTGAACACAATGAATGATTTACTGGACGCTGCTGACCACAAGACAGTTCTTCTTTCACACAGGAGGTCCGCATGCGTGTTGTTTTTCTCGCCTGCCCTAACTTCAAATTTCGGCATGCTGCAACTTTTATACGATTTTGTTTATACAGAAAAAAACGACTGATTTATCTAGTTCATCAGCTTGCGCTGAAGTGCAAAAGTCAACTCCGAGCCAGAGCTACTCGGGCAGCAGTTTCTGAGAAAACGAACGACATGTACAAAGAAGTGTGAAAACCATAACACTAAAAAGAAACTGTTGAGCAAAACCAACAGATCCTTGAATTTATGCCGTAAACACTCCATAAATTACCTCCCTCATCCATCACTGTGATCAGCAGCCCTTCTTGTTTGCAAGCTTCTCAACCGTTTCTGGTTGTAAATTTTCCCCTCAAATACCAAGAATCTCATTAGGAACGTTGGTGTGTGGATGTGAAGAAAGCTGCTGTGTGTTTCCTGGTCATTGTGTGCCTGAGAAGCTGAAGGAACCGTTTAAAAGGTCAGAGTTCAACAGGCATAGTTTTGCCTGAATATACTTTTAGTTCATTTCTGAGTCTATTCTATTACTTATTGTCTATCTTACTTGTCATACATCTGTGCGATAGAAGTCTAATTTGTTCTTTGTTTTCTTCATGTATTTCCTTGCTTTAGAACAGCAATATAATCAGCAGTAAAAAAAAACTTGGACTACGTGCCTATATAAATGTCTATATGCCTATACATATATATTTGTGGCTGTGTTGTCTTTCTACACTTCAGTTGCTTTTCTGCCGACCTTGATGTGTGTGGGTTACACTTCTTTAAGAAAGGTTCTCCATTTTCACGCAGTAAGTTAATCTCAGCACCATTTCTGCTGTTCTTGATATATTTGTCCAGTATCAAACGTAGAAAAGGTCAATTTTGATAGAGCAGGACTGATTTAATTGGGTGAGCTCTTGGTATAAGTCAGCGGAAGTTTGTATATCATCATTTTCAGAAAACTGTGTCAATCCACTTTTTTAAAATATAAATCCTTGAAACTTTTTGGGTCCTATGTTAACAATTGTTGTGCTTGCAACTTTTGCAAATTTCTCCACGCACATATCTTTTTGGACATTTGGTGGAAGCTGCCGCAGTAGATGCTGTTGTTTAGAACATTTCCTTGCGTAAATTCAAATGAATTTGATCAGCAGTGAGAAACCAGGCAGGAAAGGCGGGAGTGTGTCACATGTAAGGAGAGCACAGTCATCTTATCTGTGGTGTGCCTGCAAGCAAATTGGTTGATGTGTGATTTTCTTCTAGTCATTTCTTGTCCACTGCTGCCAAAGAGTCATCTTCTTCTAGCACTGTTTTGTGGTCAAAGTGTGCATTGGGTAGAAAAAAATCATGTTAAAATGAAAAATTTAAAGCTAGCCTATGAAAGGACCACGTGAAAAGGGAAGATGTATGAGAAGTATAGCACCCTCTATCCTCAGAGCTAATCTTTAGTAAGCACTGACCACCCCCGGGGAAGGGTGACTGGACATTTGCCTGTCTTAATTGCGAAATCAGTTCTACAGAAACAGAGCTGGGGTGTCTGCGAAAAAGCAGTCCACAACCGTGACTGTGACTTTTCTTATCTCACACACAGAACATCTGCACCAAGAATGACAGTGTATGATGTTATCTGTGTTGTTCAAGCAGAAAAGCAGAAGATCTTGGTTCCTTTTTTCAAGAGTTGTTAATAGACAAAGGGCCTCCCTATGGGCCCCTATTGAAGACTTAAAAAAAAAATTCTGGCTAAAACAAGAACTCTTTGATTTGTGATCATTTTGTGTAGCAAGATATTCTTAAACGTCCAAGGTTTTAGCCGGGATGAAAATGAATTATTGTTTGATTTAGGCGTAATTCTTGGTAGTTTCAAGCAATTTATTACAACTGGGGCTTTCTGGAGGCTAAGGTCAGCAGATCAGTTTAAAATGGTCAGATACCTTCTTCAGTGGCACTCTGTACTAGAAAGAGATGTGTTAGACATCAGTCACAGCCACTTGCTACCTGAGAACGAGGTATAAGAAACTTAAATACATGAGTATGAAACTTTACTTAAGGGAACTCTCTCTACATACCTGCCAGTGGTTGCCAGTTTTCTACACGTGTTGGTTTTGTCTTCACATTAATGACATTTTAGAGTGCATGTGTCATAAGTATTTTTGCGCTCATTACATGGAGCAATTGAAGTTACTTTTGGTGCACATATGCCTAAGCTTTCAGAAGTCAGTTAGGTTAGTTAGGATTCCAAATTCCTACTGTGTTTAAAAGTAACTTTTGTTAAAAAGTACACCACCCTTAGAATACATAAAGACTGCTTGGTTTGGTTGTATTGTACATTTAATATAGTATGTCATTTCTAACGCTTGAATTCTAAGCTGAAAAAATACACCATTTTCATAGCTTCTGAGCTTTTTTTATTTTTATTTTGTTGGCTCTAGTGGCCTTTAATGACAGTAGCTTGACAGGAAAGGGGGCAGAGACAGAGAGGGGGAGACCTGCGGGAAAGGGCCATGGGCTGGAATCGAACCCAGGACACCCGCTTGCAAGCGGAGGCTCCGCATATGGGCCGCCCGCTCTAGCCATTAGGCTACGCTGCGGCCCCTTTTGAGCTTATTTTATCAAACTTGCTTGTTTTAGCTATTGAGCCAATTAAAGGGTCACTGAAAATATTTTCCCCTGCAGCCCACCCTGTAGGGTGCATGCATGTCTTGAATGGTGGGAGGAAGCAGGAGTACCGAGAGAAAACCCATGCACACAAAACACACAAACTCCAGTAAGGGCCCCAGCTTCTGGGATTTAAACCAGGAACCTGTCACAGGAGTGACATTGCTCATTAAGATTAGCAAGGATAATGAGACAACAAAATAAAAAACAAGAACATGGTTCATGATTACAACAATAAAATCCTGACTAAAGAGACATACAGTTTAAGACTTCGGAGCCATATTTAGCACAAAATCATAAACAGATACAGATTGGAGGCAATCCACTTTAGAGACTGAATTTCTTTTTCAACACATCAACAAATAGTTTTGCTTTGATTTGTCACAGTCGGCATCTTTTTTGTGGTCTCGTATATTGATTTTCTGCCAATTCCTACATTTCTCCTGATATTTTTTGTATCTGTTTATGTGTCTGAACACATACTTTTCCTGTCTGGAAGCTGTGATGAAATTCTGGGCCTTCGGAATGACTAATAGTAATCACAGTTGTGTTTCATGGCCACGTGAATAGTAGCACCACTCTAATCGTAGGGAATAGGTGGATCCTTAAAGTCGGAGGAATTCTGATGACACTGTTGTGTCATTCTTACTAACTGCTGATGAATGTGTTCTCATTTGGGATGCGCCATTAGTGTCGCAATCATGCTGGTATATCATGCCAGTGAATGTGAATATGCAATAGATTGAAAAATACATCTATTTTAATCTAATCTAATAGATGAGATTTGAATATTCAATAGATAAAGATTTAATTTTATTAATAAATTATTGGCAAACCTGCTCTTCAACAAATTATTATCTAGACCTGCCTTGTTATGTGGGCAGTTGACAGAAACTGATTATTGTCCTTATACTTTAACATCAGGGCCAGGTAAAAAGGCACATGATGATTCAAAGAAATTTACTTTTTTTAAAAGTGCATTCTATAAAATGATATTTCTTGATCTAATTTACTTAAGTAGATACATTAATCTTTCCAATTGTGTAGTTGATCGATGGTGCTAAGTCTCCAACTTTTGGGGCAAAGTGCTTATATACAAAAACTAAAGTAAACTGTAACTCATACCGTATTTTTTACAAAACATTTGCATGAAATGAAATTGTTGAAGAGTTTAAAAAAGTTCACGCATGTGACAATGTTTAGAATGGATAGGTAGATTAGAAACCTGCCCATACTAAAAAAAAAAATCTGTAGACTGATTCAGTGATTAAATATTGCAACCTATCTTAGGTCAGGATTTGGAATCCACCCGAGCTTCAAGCATTTCATCATTGACCTTTCCAACCCTAATTGTCATCATTTTATCTTGTAGAATGATTTCACAACATGCGCTGATGACGCGTTAGCAGCACAAACCTACTGTGAGTGTCTGGGTGTCTTCAGCATCACAGATATTTGACTTCTTCCTCCTTTTTTTCGGGGACTTTGTTCAGCGGCCCATGGGGTTTTTAGATTTGATTACATTTTTGGGGTTGATTATTCTGACAATTTTTTCAATTTTGTTTTCCTGATTACTGTTGATTTTTTAGTTTAGTTTTTTTTCTGGTTCAATTCTAACAAACACATTTGAGGTGGGGCATTTTTGCACATTTCTGAACAAACAGCTGTGAGGTATCAAGTCTAATTAGGCCTATTGATCATGAGTGTAAGGAGACCAGTTTCAACTTAAGACTTCCCAGCAGATAATCTTCCTTTTTTGGACAGTTCTATGAGTCCAAGACATATGGCAGCAGGTCTGACTACAAAATCGATCATTGCCCTTTAGCCAAAATGTGGCCTGGTACTAGGTACACTAACGCTGTACCTTTTGCTCAGCACAGCCATAACAAAACACATTTCACCACTTGGGTTCAAATCATGGAGGCCATTCCTAATCACTGGGAGGTCATCTTCATCATTGCCTACATGGGCAGGAAAGTATCCCTGAGAAACATTTGAAACTTGAGGTGGAAACCTCTTTTATACACCACCCAGAGACTCTAAGATGGCTGAATAGTCTGCATATCTGCATGCATTTTTTCTATTTGAAAAAAGACACATGTTGAGTGAATTCTGAGGGATGAGCGAGCTGAAGGAGTCCCCAAATCTCCAAAGCAAGGGCTTTTACCACATTCTAAGCACTATCCCATGGTCATTTCCAATGTGCGCCCTACTCTGTCGGGGCTTCTCGCCACCTCCCCTGTTTGGCACTTTGTGCCACGGTTGTGAAGATGAAGGCATTTGGTTTGGGAATCTCTGGGACGTGCGGATTGTAGCAATTTAGAACTTTTGCCTGAGTTAGTGGGGACGAGACTCAGCTCTTCCAAATTCGAAACAACGGTTCTCAACTGGAAAACCAGTAGAATACTGTCTGCGCACCAGAGATGAGTCCCTGCCTGAGGTGGAGAAGTTAATGAACTGTATATCAGAATCTGTTTAATAAATTATTGTAAGTTGATACGTTGGAGAGAGAGTTGGACAGATGGACTAGAGCCGTCAGAGGCCTTGGAGATTGGCCGAGGAACTTGACAATCTCAGTTGGAGTTGCTGCTCCCCCCTAACGTGCGTTTTTCTCAACTCCAGAAACACAGTTGATATTAGAGTCATAAAAAAGTTGGGTTGTTAAGGGTGTGATAATACCTCTGCTCTGGTGGCTGCTGCCCTCTGTTGGTGTTTGTAAGTTCGCTTCCGCTCCGAGACGTTAGGGGGCGCTGCCTAGTAATCAAGCGGGGCTCTTTTGGAGGAAGCAACAAGTTTACGCTGGAGACGCTGAGAACGTCGAAGGACCGAAGCGGAAGAGGGACGAAAACTACGCCAAAATGGTGAATATTAAATGTATATTCAAATGTAGCGTTGGTTGGGGCGATATGCCGAGATATGCTGGATGATATAAGAGAGTCCCCAGCGGTTTACAGGTAGGATGGCGCTGGATGTTTGCGGACGGATATGTGTTCCGGGCCGGCGAGCCGCCCAGCTCCAGCGTGGCCACTAATGGCTGATGAAACCTCAGCTGCCCTCGTCGAGCACAGGCTCAGCGCGTGTTTTAGGGGGATTAAAGTCCTAGTATGCCAGGACTTTTGAGACTTTTCCAGCATTCGTTCAAATTCCCTGTTTTTTCACACATTGACTCCCCCCTTTTTCCTTGCAGGGTTTCGTCAAAGTGGTGAAGAACAAGGCCTACTTTAAGAGATACGAGGTGAAATTCAGAAGGAGACGAGGTAAATGTCGAACACAAGAGTGAAAAGCACCCAATAAACCTACACGTTGTATATAAGTTAAAGCCGTTAGTCATTGTGAGCGTCTAATGTCAGGTAATTTATGTTGACAGAGGGAAAGACGGACTACTTTGCCCGCAAGCGGCTGGTCGTCCAGGACAAGAACAAGTACAACACTCCCAAGTACCGAATGATCGTGAGGTTCTCCAACAGGGATATCTGCTGCCAGGTTGGTGGCCGAAAGACCGTGTCAACCCCACGGGAGTCCGTGGAGGAACCAGTCTGACCTACTCTTTTCTTTCCTTGTACAGATTGCCTATGCGAAGATCGAAGGGGACCAGATTGTGTGTGCTGCCTACTCTCACGATCTGCCAAAGTACGGCATAACCGTGGGCCTCACCAACTACGCAGCGGCCTACTGCACCGGGCTTCTGCTGGCCCGACGGGTAAGGGCGGCCACTTGTGCCGGAGATCAGGCCGGTCCAAAACTGAAATGTACTGAACCGTTGATGTGGGCTCTGTCTTCGTAGCTGCTGCACAAGTTTGGCATGGACCAGGTGTACGAGGGCCAGGTGGAGGTGACGGGAGACGAGTTCAACGTGGAAAGCGAGGACGGGCAGCCGGGCGCCTTCACTTGCTACCTGGACGCCGGTCTGGCCAGAACCACCACGGGGAACAAGGTGTTCGGAGCCCTGAAAGGGGCTGTCGATGGAGGATTGGCCATCCCACACAGGTCAGTGTCTTCTGAGAGTAGCAGGACATTGTGAATGTTTGTGATGACTAGTAAACACCAAAAAATGGACTGCATGATGGGGACAACGCCTTGCCTAGAGGGTTTACAACAGCAGAGGGTATGTAGACAAGACCATCATTTTCCAGCAACTTTTAAGTCATTAAATACCTCTTAGTCTTTACAGCACATCTCAGGACAAACATAATTGGGCCCATAGTTCAGTCCTGTTTAAGTCGTGGCAAGTTTCCACTAGCCCTTTTGATTCAGTTCATTTAATGAGTCTGTTGTCAAAATCAGACAAAGAAAAATGTTTTCAGTAAATATTCCTGAGCCAATCAGGTGTTAGATTTGAGTACTTATTTATTTGAGGACATGCTTTCTCGTCAGGTTTTGATGTGTTTTTAACTTAAAACATTTTGGTGTGTCTTTTTCAACGCAGGTTTAGGAGTTTGCTTCCCAAATCTGCTTATCAGATAATGTCGGCTTTAAAAGTGACCTAAATTTCCATTAGAGCTATCCTGCCACCTTTCCTTAATGATTTCCGAATTTTATTTTTCTGAAGCTGTGTGTTGTTGAGATCACCTTGTATTGAAATGTCTCCGTGACCTATCAATTGAGTTTCATTAGCTGGTTCTCTGGGGACTCTCGTAAAACTCAACTGATACAGTTTGTGGCCGATTGTCTGTCTGCTTCTCGATGATGATCCACAATATGCTGAGCAAAATGTAGTTGGTCCTTCATTTGCATCGGCTGATGTTTCATGTCCTTTTCAAGACGGGGCTGAGAGAAGCAAGATGAACCGAACGAAGAGCTACCCGTACTTATGAAAAGTGAGCGGGAAAACTCCTCCATCGTCTGACACCAATCTCTCATCCTCTCTGTTCTCCAGCCTCAAGCGCTTTCCCGGTTACGATGCCGAGAGCAAAGAGTTCGACGCAGAGGTACATCGGAAACACATCATGGGCATGAACGTGGCCGACTACATGTCTTACTTGATGGAGGAAGACGAGGACGCCTACAAGAAACAATTCTCACGCTTCATCAAGAACGGAGTCACACCAGACACGGTAACATAGCTATTCTTCACCCTCAGAAGAACAAACAAAAGTACAATTTAAAAATTTAAATGTCTCCGTGACCTATCAATTGAGTTTCATTAGCTGGTTCTCTGGGGACTCTCGTAAAACTCAACTGATACAGTTTGTGGCCGATTGTCTGTCTGCTTCTCGATGATGATACACAAAATGCTGAGCAAAATGTAGTTGGTCCTTCATTTGCACCGGCTGATGTTTACTGTCCTTTTTCAAGACGGGGCTGAGAGAAGCAGGAAGGAGCAGTCCCGCCGAGCAAAATCCTCTGACCCTAGCATTTATGTGTCTTTTTTTTCTTGTCATCTTCAGGTAGAAGAAATGTATAAAAAAGCACACGCTGCCATCAGAGCGAACCCCGTACATGAAAAGAAGCCAAAAAAAGACGTCAAGAAGAAGAGGTGGGTTTCTGATTCACCGCTACCATTTGAAAATTAGATGGGGGGGGGGGGAAAAAGAGTCGCACAGACGAATTGAATAGTGAATGGAAAAACTAAGTGCTGAGCGGATGAAACCTCGGTGCGCTGCATGTTAATTAAGCCGTTTCTCTCTTTTCCCCTGGCAGGTGGAATCGCGCCAAGTTATCTCTGGCACAGAGGAAGGACCGTGTCGCCCAGAAAAAGGCCAGCTTCTTACGGGCACAAGAACAAGAAGCAGGAGACGGTTAGGAGCTCAGTGAGGCACTCTGCTGCCAAAATACACAGACAAATAAATTTATTACAAACTCAAGCTTGTCGCCTCCCTCTTTTGATTTTTAGCTATGACGTTACCGTTTTCTGGAATAATATCTACTCCACCTGATTGTTTAAAGATTTACAGCACAGACCTTTTTTTTCCTAACTCTTATGACAAGTCCTTGGGAAAAAAAGACTGCACACATCCCAGTGAAGTGGTACACCATTTTAATTGTGCAAAATCATGCTGGTTTTCCTCACTAAGTAAACATCTGATACATTTTTAACAGCAGCGCTGGACCTGGGGCCTTGGCGTCGCTTAACAGGTCGCATATTGTGTACATTAGAAGGTGGTTGAACAATTTGGAAAGATCAGCTCAGGTGATTTCAGCAACATGTCGAGAGGTTCACAAGAAAACATTGCACAGTGTCGAAATGTGATGAGATTCGGCAGGTGGTAAATCATTCTTCGAAGACTTTCCACTGCCACACGTCGACACAAAATCATTAAATGGCAATATTACAGGTACACCTCAGAGTAAAAGTATCACAGCAGCTAACCTTCACAAATGAAGTGCGTTTTTCTTATTTTTTTCTTTTCTTATTCAGAAACATAGCTGTGATGGCACGTTTGAAATGCCCAGCGTGGTGTTTAACACCGATTATATAGTAGGTACACAGGATCTATGCGAAATACTGATAATTATGTGGATGCAAACTGTTCCTTCTCATTGATGAAGATGAAATGACTTGACTTCCACTTGGGCCAGGTTTTCCACGAGCAGCAGCTTTGTAACTAGGTGAGATGAGGGCAAGGAAAATGGCTTGTTGAATCTTAAAAGCCAATGAGATGAACCTCATCACCTTTATATTGAAGATTAGGAAAATGTGAATGTGAATCTTTTTTGACTAAACATTCAAAGTGAGAGTTGCATAAAAGAATATTAGTGTAAATAATCATAAGGACTGAAAGGTGAGCAGCTGGTAAAAAAATACATTTCATATTTGCGTTTTGACTGTCTGAGAGTGAACCACAGTGGGAGTACATGTTCCCACTCTTCGACTCTACCTTTAAATCTCTGCTGTCAGAAAGTTTGTAATAATCTCCTTAGTTGATAAAGTATTTTTTTCCTGGAAAATGTTAGAAATGTAATCTGTTTTGGCTTTCGACTGTGTTTTTTCTCAGTAATTACTCTACCAAAATCTAAGCTACTTTACAATGAAGCTGTTGTGAGTTACATTCAAGTTAAACTGGTTTTGGTCCTTTTCTGTGCATTTGTCAAAAGTAAAGTATTCATTAGATTTTTGTCCCTAAAATATATCGTGCTTCTTTATAGCAGCCGTGGTAAAATTAGGTATAATCCAAGTGTTAACTTGGTCACTGGTTTGAAATCCTGGTTTTCCAGAATGGAATAAACTCACTAATGAGTGACTGTTGTCTGCACACATAGACGTGGTGTTCCAGTAGAAAGACGGATTCGGTCTCCAACTAAACAGCATGGTCTTTTTTTTCCAGCAATTGTGTCGTGACATTCAACTGTGATAAACAATGCATTGCGATTCAAAGTGTTTAACATGTGAAATTAAGTAGGTTTGCCAAATGGTAACATGCAATCATCCAGGTTAAGTCTATCAAAAGCACTCACATGAGACTTTCGGGCCCCAAAGCTTTGACGGGGAGGTAGTTCCACCACTGATCATCCATGAGTTTTGAAAGTTGCAAAAAAAAAAAAAAAAAAAGACTTCTTTAACTATGCTACAAACAAATCGCTGCATCTTTTCCACTCTGTTTGATCTGTAGAACTGAGTAGCAGGAGTTCATAGAGAGTTCCTGCACTTGTCATGAGTCCTTGGTGTGTGAGATCTGTCTCCACAGAAGAGCCTTGAGATTGTTGAGGATAAGCGAATGCTCCATGTCCATCTGTGCGGCATTCCCTCTCAGAGCCATGCAGGCGTACAGCTGCCGCTCGAGTTCCTCTCTCATGGCCGACGGTGCCCCGCGCAGGAGGTAATCTTTCAGCGTCCCGCAGGCCTTCGCCAGGTTTGGCTGGACTGGCTCCTCCCGGCACCGTTTCTCTGAGAGGTCGCACGACGTCTGGCAGTCCGCCCCGTACGTGCAGTCGGCGTCCGTGTCGCACCTCAGGACTCGCATGGCGCCTCGGAACTCATTCTCGGGGACCACCGCCCGCGTGTTGGTGAGACGGAGCTCGTGGCGGTCGGTGTAACCGAAGTGCGCCGCCGCGAGGTCGCAGATCAGGAAGCTGCCATAGGTGCCGTGGAAGATGTCCTCCACGAGCTCCAGCAGACCCATGGAGATCTTGGCTTTGCGAGGCCAGGAGGGGGTGAACCACTGGTCCATGGCACGCTGCACGCCGCTGGGCACCCAGGAAACGAGTGGCCAGGGAAGCGAGAAACCGTACAGCGGTCCATAGGCGGTGTGTTCTGTCATGTAGAGATCTCCGCAGTAGCCCATGAGGCGAGGCGTGTGTCCGCGGTCCTGAAGTAGCAGGCCGAGCAGAACCTGAACGAAGGGAACAGAAATCCAAGTTAAAAGACAAGACTTTTCCCCGCATCCACAGAACACCAAATAGGATAAAACAACTCTATTGTACCAGCTAAAATAAGCCAGATACCTCGTCCATTTGCAGGAGGGCCCATGTTGAGCGGGCCTCAGGCAGCGACACCCGTCCATCTCTGTTGCCATCAGCGACAGAGAGGATCTGGCTTACGAGGTTGGCGAGGTTCGCCTGCTCCCCAAGCTTGGCCTGGAGGACAGAAACGGACTATTTGGCTCTCCTATCGTCAAGGATCTACGTCTCAACAGACTTCCATCGTGTCAATGGGTCCTCACCTTGATGTGATTGAAGACCATCTCTTTAAACTTCTCCACCGAGGTGCCTCTGGTCGGCTTGTCGAACAACTGGGCTTCTCTGCGTGGCTCCAGTTCCTCGCCCAGCTCGTAGTGCGCGGCCTCCCCCAGCTTACAGCGGATGATCCCGCTGTGGTCCCCCCAGCTTCCTGTGTACACCTGGAAGTGAAATGCGTGCACGATTACCGAGAAGCCCAGTTAACACAGTCATGAATTAAATTTGACATCTGAGTGCATCTGCTTCCCACCTGATTGTTCGGTTGTGTTGACAGACACCTGCCCATGTAGAGCGTTTCTTTGTCACACAGACTGCTGCAGGCTGAGCCATCGATGATTCCCTTCCTGTATTTATCACACTTAGAAAGTAATAGGGGGGTATGCATTATTTGACAGTTTTAAACAAATGAAACCAGAGGCAACATATTTTAAAGGTCCGTTTGTATAATCTTTTCACATATACATTGCATATTCAAATGCAGTGTCTTAGAAACTCACAATAGTGTTCTTGCACTCATGTCCTCTGCACAGTTCTGTGTAGGTTGAGTATTGCACATAGAGCACCCAGCTGCCTACCAGCACAGTCAGCCATGTAAGAAACAGGTACTTCACCCGTACAAAAGAAATCCGAGCCTGAGGAGGGAGAACAAAAAGATCATTAAGACCCAGACAGATCACACTAATCTAATTAGTGATCAAGAAATACCAACAAATATAAAAATCCCCACGTATGCATGATAAAACTCTGTTTGTGCATCTATTTTCTAGAGATACGCAGTGCAAAGTATGTTACAGAATCACATCGCAGTGATAGAGGGACGACTTGATCACATTATGGGTGACTATGGCAACAACATGAGGTGTCTCATAACAAAGCACCGGCTGTCCAATTTGTCAGCGTTAACAATAAGGTAATGAAGCTGCTTATCTGTTTGGATGTGGAGGTCTAGTTGTTCCAGAGTGAGATACCCTTTTCTGTTACAGCCGGTTAAAGTAAATCTAATTGTCTGCTGGCGTCATGGGATGCACTGTCACATGTTTGACAAAAACGCTCTCAACAGATGTCCTGTTGTGTCTGACCAAACGTGGAGATAAAGGCTAGTCAAATGCGTAACGCTGCGCCTCTGAAAAACTTTGTCTCGGGAACATATATAAGCCACAGAGAAAGAGACCTGGTTTTGTGTGAAGACAGTTGCACGAGCTGATAAACACAGCTCACAAACACCGTATGCCCATAATGATAGAACATAGTGATTAACGATGTATCTTCTTCTCAGAGGATTTTTCCAGCTCCACTGTTCAGACAAAGAGTCTGTCTGAACTTGGGAGGATAAAATAATTTTGGTTCTCACTTTGATCACAGGGCAGGAATGACTTATATAATGTGTATTTTGGCAACATGGTGTGTCTCTCATTGACCTGTAGCACAGTTTCCAAATCCCCCCCCCCACAAAATACTGCATTCAGGCAGTTTGTCAGTAACCAATCAAGCTACTCAATCTTTGATGTGTACTGATTACAGATCTGTAAACAGGATGAAAGTTTTTTCTGTTTAGAGTCCATACAAAGTGCAGCGAAAATGAAAACATCTTATTTTTTGGGTCTAAATAGTTTTAAACTAAGATTCATCTCTGTTTTCCATCTTCATATATGCAGTCAAGCTGAGCATAGAAATGAAGAAAACATTTAAACAAGGAGTTTAGATTTACAACTTAAAACTACAGAGGCCAATGCCATCATGTCGTATAAAACAAACTCAGTCTTCTGCAACATGGACGATTCCAGAATCACACAAATCTCTGAGGAACATTTGCCACACCTCAAAGTAATTCAAGGGTTTCTTTGCATGTGGAATTCAGCAGTTCAACCGAACTGAGTTGAATCCTATCTATGTAGGATTTAAGCAAGATGGAAAATGAAAAGGCAAGGAGGATGTTAAACCACTTATTCACTTAATAGTCATCTCATATGAGATTACTTGCAGTTAAAATGGGCAAACTAGGCATTATAGATCTATTTAATATGCGATGACCATGTGGATAAAACAAAATGTTAATACTTTCAGCGTTTTACTTTCCATGTTGGATATAAAAGTTTAGTAAAATTTCTAGTTTTATCTAACTGGAATTGGTTCTAAAATTGAAATTGGCAGAATGAAAACGCTTAAAAACTGCAATGGTCTGATGTTCAATGATAGTTTTTGAGCTTAGGTGTTTTGCCAAAGAAAAAAATACAAATAACAGGAGCTTAATTTACAGTTTGTCTTATGTTTTAGCAGATTGATGTTGCAGGTTTGAAAATGCCTCATCTGTTCAGCCAGTAACATGTTGCTTCAAACAAAAAATATCAATAATATTAAGAGATATATTGCAGGCCTTCAGGGAACGGAATATGGAGCGGTCAGATGGGTTTTCTAATTAAGATACTTTGCTTTTAACCCATAAGAACCCAGAGTGATTCGGGAGTAACTAAAACAAATGTATCACAAATGGCTAAAGTAAACTGTGAAACACTTAACAGATCTCTGGAGGTACTTGATGTGCCCATTTGGGTCAATTTTCTATGGAAAATGTTAGTTTCAGAAAGAAATGAGTAAAGGTTCTTTTCGGTTAAAATTTGCTCTCTGTACAGAACGCAGACAGGCAAATGCACAGGAACATAAACCCTGGTCACGACGGGAGAATGACTTTGAGTCACATGTCTATATTCTCTGTCTGATGATGCATTTAACCCAATGAGCGAGACACAGCTTCGGAGATGAAAAAAAAAAGTTAAACACAGTAAGAAAGAGCTTTATCCTCAATAAATCCTTTTCTGTCTGGTCCTCACTCTCAAAACTATAAGCAGAAACAGAAAAACTAAATTGCTAATATGCTAGTATGATATTTAAAATGACCTGTGACATTAAATGAATGTCAAAAACAAAAGAAAAGTGGGCTTTTATGAGTAGAACAATAGACAGCAGACAGTACAAGTTCATGATAGGAAAGCCAATGATAATTGGAAGGCTTATGAATAGAGCCAGAAGCAAAGGGATTAAATTGGAAATTAATGGCACGACTCACATAGTGTGGCATCCATAGTGCAAACTGTTGGGTTACCACTTGTCAACAGTTAGATTTAGTTACCCTCATGAAGTATTGACCTCTTAGATGAAAAGACCCGCTGTATCACATGTTCTATACAGAGTTTTGATGATGATCGCTCGTAGAATAATAATTATTTTAAGCCCAATTTCCACTGCTTGCATTATGGTGATGATATCATTTCACAAGAGCATATAAAGTGTGCTATCAATGTCGCGATATAATGTTATGTTACATAAAAAGGTACAAATCTCTTCTCCATTTGAATACAAACCAAAAAGAAACTGAAATCCCCATGACAATATTAATACTAATAATATAGTAAATTGATTTCCAATAGCATTTCTAAAGATAGAAATTCCATCCTTAAAAAATGTTTATGTGTAGAGTTTGGGAACAGCTTTACGACTGATAAAATGTTTGGTAGGGAGTTTTGTTGACTGTAGCATTAGTGGAGACTGAATGAAAATGTTCTAAATCTACTGAATTTTAGACTTGAGCTTGTGTGTAAAGATACAAAGATGAGATTAAATATGTCCCCATATCTGATATACCGGCTGTGTCCTAATGCAGTGTGTCAAAACCTTTTTCCCTCTATGATCTTCCTATCGTACAGAAGTTATAATTAAACCCAATCGGATTACGGCTGCCCAGGCTCTGTATACCGTGATACAACTGTGAACAGGCCGGAGTCCCAATACCTCTCTTTATGCAAAGAGAGAAGAGAAATGAAAATCAAGCTTGAAAAAAATTATCTAAAACAGGGGGTTCTAAAAGCCCCACGCGTCTCTTCAGACTCCCCAGGGTTTTTGGAGAAAAAATCCCCAGCAAAACCCCACCCTGGCTCCACTTTGGCTCATTAGTTTCACTAACATTGTCGATGCCTACAGGTTCAGGATTTGGTTATTTCTTTTTTTTGTTTGTTTCTAACTTAATCCTTTATTTAGTAAGACAGGAAACAGCCATAAACTATTTGGCAAATTCTAGCATCATAAATGAACTGACATGTTTTCCCTTAGAGGGCAAAAGTTCAAATCCTCCAGGAACTAGTCTGTCCAAGCACTCAATCCTCAATCGTCATATTTAAGTTATTCATGTTACTAATGGAGCCATTTTCTCTTTTCCATTCACTGAGCCTCCCCGAAAATTTTCCTGCAGTCTCTTGGGGAACCCCCCCTCCCACTTGGAAAAGCTCTTATCCAAACAGCGATCCCCTCTCTAGCTACTTTGAACGTCCTGGAATAGATTACCGATTTTTCTGCTTGCATGTTGGAGACACTCGGAGAGCCGGGCCTGCACTTTGCTCTGTGCTTGACCACTCTTGTCAGCAGACCAGCGATCGGCCCCTCCGTTTCCAACAGCATTTCGCATGCATCAGGTATTTAGAAACAGCACGACAAACCGCTCGAGCAGCCCGATGCTGCCAGCTGTCAGTCTGATGTGACAGCACCACGTCAACGCGATCGCCTCGCTGGAAGCGACCTACGATCGGTTTTTGAATCAGAGCACTTTTCGAAACCAAGGTCTTACCTGAAAGTAAAAAGACTTTTTCACCCAGGCCCGAGGAAACAGACCCCTCGCCATTACAAAAATGGATCATCTCAATACGCGGACTTCGCTAGTGGATATCATCCAAAAAAAAATCACTGTAAAAAAAAAAAAAAAAAGAAGCTACTTCATCACCAAACGAGTAGCACGAAAAGATATGACAACATATTGTCCGAATCCAGCCTCGCTTCGACCCCCAGCGCAGGTCTGATCTGCACGTCTGGATCTTGAGGTTTGCTTTTTTTCGGCACCTTTGCTCTTTGCAGCATTCGGACTGCCGATTTTCAAGAAAAGCGACATACCTTAAACTGGAAGAGAGGGGGGAGTGAGAGAGAGACCGAGAGAGATAGAGACAGGGGGAGAGAGAGAGAAATGTATGCTCAAGGCGCACGCGCAACTTTTTGGTCCACCAATCACACGTTTTTCTTACCCCAAACTCCTAAGATTTCCTCTAAAACGTCAGCCACTGGTATTAAACGTCTTTTATTACCATGGCAGATTCATTTTGAGTAAGATAGTAAGCTTTCAAAGTTATCTGACGCGAGTAACAGTTTATGACAAAGTCAAAAGTCCACTTTGTGCCAAAATGATAGTATCAGTGGTTTCCTCTGCTTATATACAGTGTTGATATATATATATATATATATATATATGAGAAATAGATGGATAGATAGATAGATAGATAGATAGATAGATAGATAGATAGATAGAT